AGGTACATGTGCCACAATAAATCAGCCGAAGAAAACTAACTGCAGCAATGGAGATTTCGAAGGGTGCAGACGGTCGCCGAGCGAGACGCAGGGCAGTATGTGATAACATGCAGTAAGACCAGTAAAGATCCCCTTGAAAGGAATGCCCTTGCTAGCCGTATGTCCCCCAAATTCAGCACAGCAAAGAGATGCATCGACGATAATTGATTTGGGCCCTAAAGGTCCTGTCCCGTTGGGCCTGGTCCCACTGAGTCCCGAAGGTCCCAAGTAGGTTGTGGACCAGGACCAACGAGATAGGTGTACCAAGTCAGTCCCAAACTGCCTCTACCGTACTGAAAAGGAAAAGACAACTTTCGGCAAGAACTCACCCCTACAGCCGTTCGGAAATGAAAAGATATTGCACCGTAGAAAGATATGTCATTTAGAACAGATACATCATCCATCCATTCATCAGGTGAGAAAGCAATCCACATGCTCACACACACAACCAAGACCGCAGAGAAGAGGAAGAGAGCCCAGCACACCCCAACAGGCCATGAAGCACCAAGCAACCTCCCMYGGGCATAACCAGGTCACACGRCACTTRCCTGTGAGGSCCGGCCTCCAAAGAWGGATAACGACTCACCCCCCTCTCTCATARGTCCTCCTGACCCCTAGCTACCACTACGCGAAGTGTCCTAGCATGACTAAGAGGGCCTTCCTACACCCCTGTTACAACGCCGGATCCCCCGCCGATGTCTGAAGACCAAAGTAGCAACTTGCAGCTCTTCGATGCAGATATGGCAGCCTCCGATCAAGTCTCCCTCTTGAGGGCTCACTCTCTACTCCCTCTCGCTTACTCCAATCAGCCTCCTTTGTGTCTCGCCACCCCATCCATTCACTCAAGCAACCTGGTCAGGTCTGATGTCGACCCTACATGACCTAACCAGGTGGGGGCAGTATCCACATACCTCACTGCCCCACTTAACCCTAACTTCCCAACCCTAAACCGAGATTAGGTTAGCCCTAACCTAATTCGGAATTAGGTTTAGGGTAACTAACACCTCTCGCCAGCAAGTAAGTCCGCGCTGATACCAATTGTTACGATCCTGGTCATTCCCGAAGTGCAAATTCACAATGAAAGAAAATGCCACCCAATTGCAAAAGAAATGAAAGCACTTGCAAAGAGATAGAGACCAGAGGAGAGAGAAAGAAGAAGAAGAAGAAGAAGAAGAAGAAGAAGAAGAAGAAAAACACCAGCAAGACCAATGACAATTCCCCCTTCTCTCTCCACCTTCCTCCTCCTCCTTCACTTCGCCAATCTTATTCTTCTCCCAATGATAATAATAACAATGAGTGGATGAACCAGAATCAATATCCGAAGTTCCCTCTTACTGCTGACTCAACAACAACAACAACAGCAAGTCCACCATAGCTATGACTTCCCTCCTTCTGCCTCCTCTCACATGCATAGGCTATGGCGGACTACTAAGGGCCCTGCCCTCGTGTCGAAAGGACAACCCAAAGCAGCTATGGCGCTGCACTCCTGTCCAAAGGACAACCCAAAGCAGCTATGCTGCTGCTGACTGGTCCGCCATGCCTGACTCTGCCTCGAGCTTCCTTGGTGCGGCACTACCCCAACTGGGGCCTTCCAGATGCAGCGCCCAACAAGGTGATGAAGACGGTGTCCACCATAGCCAGGGTGCCTCGCCACTCTCCTCCTTCGCCCCCTTCTTCCTCCTCCTCAGGCTGGGCTGCTCGCCATAGCCAGGCTGAGCGCCAGCTGCCCTTCACCTCCAAGCAGCGCTGTGCTCCAGCAGCGTGTCGCCAATCCTTGCATACCACAAATGAGGAGGAGCTACTTGCTCCTCCGGAAGATATAGCGGCCTACTGGCCTCTTTGGCGGTGACTTCCTAGGCCGAGCGGCCTCCCAGCAACCGGTGCCTCCTCCCTTTCGGAGGGAAACATCATTGCAGGCTATGCTATCCTCCAGACAGGCCCTAGACCCGGGCTACTTGGACTGGTACCGGCCTACCTCTAGCCTACCGCTACTGGGCCTCCAAAAATGCCAACTTTTTGTCTTCTTCTTCTCGGCCTCCAGTACCCGACGCTTCTACCACTACTTCAGTGGTACCGGCACCTGCTACTTGAGTGTTTTTCCCCTCTGCTCTAAGTGTCGCGGGCCTACCCCCGCTACTCAAGTGTTTTCCCCCCTGCAACCCTCAAAGTCATGGCCACAGGTAAGTACCGGCCCTGCGGGGCCTTTCAACCAACAAGTACCCTTGCGGGTCACACACACACTCAGCCGACAAGCACTCAGACAGGCATGCAAACCAGCAGGCACCCACACACACACAGACATGGAAATCACAGCAGAATGCGGGAATTTCATCAAGGCATTCATTCCAGCGGCAAATCCCAGAAATCAGTAGTGTTCTCAGTCTGTGTTTTTGGCGGGTCATTACAAAGATAAAATAATCGAACCATTCAAGGAACAATTCCTAGGAGAAGGGAAAATAGCAGTAATAAATCAGGGCAAAATCCAATTTGGACAATGGAGATTTACCCAACTATCCCTGTCTCAGCCAATAGAAACACCAAGAAGCAGAACACATCTGACAGACATGACGTTAGGCCCGAATGAAACCGGAATAACCGCAGGAGACAACCAATGGCACAACACCCACTAACCAGCAGAAGCACAGGCACGTTAAAGATTTTGGTGAACGAGTTACCTAAAAAAGGGGCTAAAACAATGAAGGACTAGGAATAGCGCCCTCCAAGAGAAACACTCAAGAAACAAGCTATGACATCCCGAGAAGTCTAGGGTTTAGGGTTTAAACCACCAGTACTTGGCACAGCTATCAAGTCCGAGCCTCGGCCTACCGGTCTGCCGACCCATGCCGAGGCTGGAGCTACCAGTTGTGGGCTTACTGGACCTACCTCCGAAAGAAACGGGAGAAAAAAAGAAAAGAAGAAAAAAAACTTCAAAAAAAAAGAAGAAAGAAAAAAGAAAATGAAAGAAAAAGGGCTACGGCCTATGGAAAAAAAAAGAAAGGAAGAAATGAAAAAACGGTTTTGGTTTTTGGTTCCGCGTGGGAAGAGGGAAGAGAGAGAGAGAAAGAGAGAGACGCGGCGAGTTTGCCGTAGCCCTCCGTGCAGCTTACCCTTTCTCTCTCTCCCCCGGCTCTCACGTTTCAAAACTGCACACGGGAATGCATCTCCGCACTTTCGCGGGGAGATGCATTCCCATTTTCCATTTTGAATGGGGCTCTCTCTCTCTCTCTCTCTCTCTCTCTCTCTCTCTCTCTCTCTCTCTCTCTCTCTCTCTCTCTCTCTGTGTGTGTCATCGCTCGCTGGCTCGCTCTTGGCTCACATTTAAAAAAAAAATCGCGCTTCAAAACTGGAAATGGGAATGCATCTACCCCCTTTCGCGGGGAGATGCATTCCAGTTTTCCATTTCGAACAGTGCGGATCTCTCTCTCTCTCGCGCGCGCGCGTACGGAGCTCACCATTGCTCTCTCTCTCTCTCTCTCTCTCTCTCTCTCTCTCTCTCTATATATATATATATATATATATATATAGTCGGTGAAACTCCGACGAAACAGTTTGTCACAGCCCCTCGTTTGTTGTCCTCTTCTTCCTCTCTGCCTACGGTTTA